ACCATGAGCCCCAAGTGAAATGTACATGGGAGGAAACTGGACAAAAAACATTCTAGGAATTTAATTAAAACTGACAAAACTGGCTTGGCGCCTGTTACTCAAGTGGCTAAGGCGCCAGCCACATACACCTGAGCTGGCGGGTTCAAATCTAGCCCAGGGCTGCCAAACAACAATGACTGCTTCAACCAAAAAAAAAAACTGACAAAACCATATATTGGAAAAATATGTAAAGAGAAATGAAAAAAAAAAATGATAAATGGTTCTCCCAACTAAATAAACAAAAAGGGGCCTAAAATGGTGAAAGGGCTGCGCCTATGGCTCAGTGAACAGGGCACCAACCCCATATATTGAGGGTGACGAGTTCAAACACGGCCCTGGCCAAACTGCAACAAAAAAATAGCTGGGTGTTGTGGCAGGTACCTGTAGTCCCAGCCTAAGAGTTGGAGGGTGCTGTGAGCTGTGACGCCACCGCACTCTACCAAGGGTAACAAAGTGAGGCTCAAAAAAAAAAAGGGTCCTGAAAAAAACAAACCAAAAAAGAACATATCAGAACACAGAAGTGGTCTCAGGTGAAGGGTCCTCCCCTGGAGAACTACCACATCAAAGCCAGACATCCACCTCAGATGCGCCTGCTTTTTTTTTTTGAGAGAGAGATTCTTGCTCTGTCACCCCAGGCTAGAGTGCCATGGCATCAGCCTAGCTCACAGCAACCTCACACAGGCAATCTTCCTTCCTCAGCCTCCCCATTAGTTGGGACTACAGGCGTCCACAACACCCAGTTAATTTTTCTACTTTGAGTAGAGACAAGGTCTCAGTCTTGCTCAAGTTGGTCTTTAACTCCTGGCTTCAAGCAGTTACCCATCTCCCAGAGTGCTAGGATTACAGGTGTGAGCACCTTGCTTGGCCAATGCACCTGTGTTTGAGCAGCTTTTCCGTTCTGCTGCACAAAAGGCAGAAGTGAATTCCCGTGGGAAGGAGCCTGGGCTGCCCTCCCAGCTGCCTCCTTACCATCTCATAGGTCTGCATGGCCAGCTGCACCTTGTCATCGCTATACTCCTTGCACTTGCTGTAGGCGCTCTGGATCTTCTGCAGGTGCTCTACCCGCTGGTCTGCAGAAAGAGTCTTCACCGTGGAGATGTACTCTGCAGCCAGGAGGTCAATCTCTGCTTTCTTATCTGATGAAGAAATGGGTGAAAAGCTAGCCCTGCACAGACACTGCTACGTGCTCACCACCTGCCCACAAAGTTGGACACCGCCAAGTTGTGGCAAAGATGTGAACAGACACAAACTCAGGCTCTGAGGGCTGCACACACGTGGGTATCACCACCCACACAGTATGGGATCTCAGGCTCTACAGGCTGGGCACACTCGGGCACCACCACCCACATAGCCTGGTACCAGGGCCTTCCCAGCAAGACAACTTGCCCAGGACAGTCCCAGTTTATGACTGCTGTCCAGCACATGGTTACAGCCCTCTGACTCTCTCCCATCCCCATCTGAATGGTTAATATGTGGCCACCTTACCTGTGACCTGGATACTACTCTTAGATACCTTAAAGAAATTAGAATACCTAGGCACCAAGATACACATGAGAAACATTCATAATAGCAGAAAACACCTAATGTGTAAGCCACAGTAAAATCAATAAATAAGCTGTTGTCCAGAACTCAAGAGAATGTTGCCCAGCAGCAAAAGAATTAACAGGGCGGCGGCTGTGGCTAAAAGGAGCAGAGCACAGGCCTCATATGCCGGAGGTGGCGGGTTCAAACCCAGCCCCGGCCAAAAACTGCAAAAAAAAAGAATTAACAACAGCTGCACACAGCAGTGTAGACAAATCCCATGAGAGCAAGACATAAAAGGAAAACAAACTATATGATCCCACCGATAACAACGGCAGAAACAGACACAATTCTCAACTCTCTAGAGAGGTGAGAGGCTTAGAGAGATAAGAAAAATACTGTTGAAGGTGGTGGAACAACAGGTCAGCACCACACTCAGGGCACAGGCCCTAGGAGGGAGGGGTGTCAGGACCTGAAGAGCCAGGCAAGCTTCTAGGTCTTTTTTTTTTTTTTTGAGACAGAGCCTCAAGCTCTCCCCCTGGG